ACGCATGCACAAAGCTTCATGGGTCTAACTGGATCACACTGACAGATACACTCAAAGTAAGGACCGGAGTCAGACAAAACTGTCTACTCTCAACCTTCCTCTTTCTTCGGGTGGTTGACTGTGTTATGAAGACCTCGACATCTGAGGGAAAGCACGGAATACAATGGACAGCTCGGACTCAACTAAAAGATTTGGACTTCGCAGATGACCTAGCTCTCCTACCCCCATGCACACGAACAAATGCAGATGAAGACAACTAGTGTAGCAGAAGTCTCTGTCTGCACTGGTAGGCCTCAACATACACAAGGGGAAAAGCGAGATCCTAAAATACAACACGGAGGACACCAACAGAATCTCACTTGATGAACAAGCTCTAGAAGATGTGGAATCTTTCACGTACTTGGTCCGCATCATGAACAAGGAGGATCAGATGCAGATGTAAAGTCGAGGATTCGAAAAGCAATGGCCGCATTTCTACAGTTGAGGAACATATGGAACTCAAAACAACTGTCAACCAATGTCAAAGTCAGAATCTTCAATACCAACGTCAAGGTAGTTGTACTGTACGGAGCTGAAAAGTGGAGAATTACCACAACCATCATAAAAATGTACAAGTATTTATAAACAGTTGTCTATGCAAGATGCTTAATGTCCGATGGCTGGATACCATCAATAACAGCCTTCTGTGGGGGAGAACAAACCAGCTTCCAGCTGAGGAGGAAACTAGGAAAAGACGTTGGAAGTGGATAGGACATACATTACGGAAATCACCAAACTGCATCACGAGACAAGCGCTGACTTGGAATCCTGAAGGGAAACAGAAAAGAAGGCCGAAGAACACACTACGTCAGGAATTGAAAGCAGAAATGTATAGGATGAATAGCAGTTGGAAAGAATTGTAGAGGATTGCCCAGGATAGGGTTGAATGATGAGTGCTGGTAGGCGGCTTATACTCGTCCACGAGGGATAACAGGCGTAGGGAATGAAGTAATGAAACCAACTATCCATATTTCAAGTTTTTGTCATTTTGTTATCTCCATCTTTGAGAAGTTATTATCTCTTCTGACTTATCTAAATTTACATATGATAAATTCTCACTAGGATTTTACTGGTAAGTTCATTATAAACATAACCAACTATCTATGTTCAACCTTACTTAAGATCATGAATACGTAATGTTCAATGGTGTTAGACAAAGTTAAAATATCGCTAACTTTCAAGATTTTGATTGAATTTCTTACCAATTTTACCTTATGATGGAAATACCATTTTTCGTAACTGTGTAAAATTTATATCAAAAACTATTAGTTTAAAAATAAGCCTTTATTTAATGGATATAATTACTGGTAGAATTTAATAGCAAAAATGAATTTTCCCTTTATAAATCTAGAAATGAGATTATCGCGAGATAGAAGTAGGAGGAAATGAGGTATAATCATAAATAAGTGAATAAAAGTAAGTTAAAAAGAATAGTAATTGAAATATTACTAATAAAAATATAATCAGGAAAACTTATTTCACTTAAGAGAGTTCTACTAACCTTTACGGAATGTGTAAAACTAAAACTATAGCAAGACTGTCACTTGATTCTATTCCGAGTCACATCTTAAGCCACTAGGTTTCAACATCCCTAGGAACCCAATCAGGAATTCATGAGTGACAGACAGATGCCAGCCTTGTACAGCTTTTTTTCATACCCCAACAACGTTTATTAAACTGACCACCTCTCACTCTCTTCCAACCAGTCCCGGTGTCGGCAAATAATATACAAAATGGAATTCACTAGGATGACATTCCTAGAACATTTCAAAGGCATCAACGTTAGTGTTTCAAGGTAAAGACTCAAATTGAAATATTGCCACTGTGCCCGAACACACGTTGCCGCAACTCCGTACTACGTACATGATGTTGCCACTGGATTTCAGTAATTCTAAGGAGACTGCAGAAGTCGGACTCAAAGAGTTTCTGAACATCCTCAACTAGGAGAGGCCAGTTATCATGAGCTTAAAGTAAAACCACTCTAGTCGACGCTATGTAAATTAGACCTTTTACAGCCATATTGACATCATGAATCCACCAAAGGTGGCCCACATTGACATAAGCTGCTCTGACTTTCACTAAACACCGATTGATTTCACCTGACACCACACCACCAACACTCATACGGCTACCTATATAAACGAACTTCTTTTCTAGTTCTAACGTCTCATCAAAACGAGTGAGAGTAGCCAAAGGCTCCTGCTAATCATGTGAAAATACTTCATGTTTAGAAGTGCAAAATGCATGTCACACTTAAAGACATTGATTATCGACTGATTAAGCACGGATTGTATAGCCCAAGTATCATCACATACAAAAGATCGAAAAGTCACTCTCCAGATAACAGATCCACACCACCACTACCTACTTCCATATGAACTATTCTCAGAACGTAATCGATGGCTAGGTTGAAGAGAACTGGTGAGATTAGACAACTGTGCTTAACTCCACTGCTGCAATGAAACAATGGAGGGAAGCGAATGTATGTTCTCATTATGCCTTATGTGTCTTTATATGGAGGTTTCGAGATTTTCATGCACATTATTCTTCAACAGACAGTCTCAAAAGACAATACTGTTCAACAAACCACATGCTGATCAACAATCACGAAGAACAACGACTGTTGACCTTTAATAAATATGACAGTTCTCTAACATTTAGTGAGGTCTGAAAATACGATCAATGCATTCGTGACCTGAACGAAAAACAGCTCTCTCCTAGCAAGTCAACCATCTATAGGTTTGGACAATTTGAGGTACGTGACCGAAGCCAGTAGTTTGGATGCAATCGAATGTAGATTTATCCCATTATAGTCGTTGCATAGATGATGTACACTCCTGTTTTTAATATGAAGATGACAATTACTTCATTTCAGGATAGTGAAACACTCCTGGCAAAAAGTTACGATTACCACTCAAATTTAGGTTAAAATTCTTTAAAACACACCGATAGTTGATTCGGAAATATTTTTCTTCACAAATTCAGTATGATTCATACACTAACGCATTTACTAGTGGATGGTTTCTAACACGCTTAACAAACTTAAGTAGTTTGAAAAAGATGGTAGATTTCGTGGAAAGCTCTATACATTTAGTGCCTACTACTTGTCTCTATTCAGATGCCGTTAAGTGATCCAGAAATAATAAACTGATCCACAACATTCAATCTTAAAAATCCCCCAGTTGTCCATTATTCCTTGCTTATGGTCTTCAAGTTTCCATGTCCAATCAGTGTTCGAACTTGTATTTCTTTTAAAAAATTTTAGATACTTAAGCAAAGATGGATGGTGTCTAGCAGTGTAATCCAGGACACGCATTTCGTTTTGTTGGGGACTCATCTGTTAGATGTATCTGCATTCCTGCATCGAGATAATCCGTACAAGATGAAAGTATACCAAAAGAGACAGATCAGTTTCAGTCTTAAACATAAGTGGTTGGATTCAAACAACCAATATATATGAATTTTAGATATTTACTTGTGAAAATTTATAACCCTTTGTACGTTTCAGTTTTATCTTTAATATCTATAGCTACTTGAGTCATATTTCGACTAAACATTTCAAAAAACTAAAATTCTGTAATTTATTGAACCTATGCAATCATGGTTACAAAGATAGAGGATTTATCCTCAGTAATATGATAAACACTATGAAGTGATGTCCTTTTAAATAAATTGTGCTCCGTTTCGTAGTTTATGTTTCATTTGTTCCTTAATTTAAAGAACGATTACACACAAAAAAAAGATCCTGACCAATTCAGTTTAATGTTAAATGTTAGATTAATTATAAACAAAGCTTGTAATATTTATATTAAAGAATAAAACCTATTCGGAAAATATTAACCTAAATTTCTTCCCTATAAGAAATTGTAATCTTTGATCTAATAATACGGATGTTTTTTTTGTTTCTAGTACATCAGTAACACAATGAAATTAGAATATAATTAGATAAACACTTCAGAGAACGTGTATAATTGAAAAATGTAAAGTTCCGTCGTAATGCATGGAGTTAGAGCAACCACAACACCTTATTACAATGATTGTTCACAATTCGAACTTATCAACAAAAAATGAACAAAACGAAAGGATTCATTTCCCATGGTATTTACTCAATAATTCAAAAAAAAGAGATTTCGCTTCAAAATTCCTAACCCATAAATTTGTTATTTCAAATTTCTGACAGTTCATATATTGCCGACCCATATTTTGATGCTATCATCTTATATACTTGCTTTGTACGTGTGTATATATATGTATGTGTGCATTTATATTGATACGAGCAAACGCAATTATTTTTTGCTTACCAAAAATAAGAGATTTCATGATTCTATGACCTTTAAGTTTCTCAACTTTGAAGTATACCGCTTATCAAAAGTATTTGGCGGCTTAAAATCAATAACAAGTAATAACCCCTGCAATTGCTTTTTTTTCTTCTTTTTCTTCTCTCTTCACCAAGTTAATGGTGTATTTAATCCTTGTTTTACAGACATGTGTGAAATTTAGTCTTCTTAAAATAAAATAAATATTATATCTACTGTATTCATCTGACTAAACTATTTTGTTTCCTTACCTGTTCATTTTGAAAAAGGTAACTTCTATTTAACCAATCAGATAAGAATAAAAGACGGTTTAATGTATCGACAATGTGATTGGTTAATTGTGCGAAATACTAATTTCTACTAGGGAAGAAGCTAGATTATTGTTTCATTCACTTGGTTTTTGTTTTCTATAAAAAAATGATATTAGCATCAGGTATGACTTACGCACAAACACACACACACATACCGATAGATGAGTGTACAGATATCAATAGACACAATTACACACATATATATGTATATACATACATAAACAGCGCTTATAGAGTTTATTTAGTCACATTAAAAATCTGATTTGTAGAGTTTCTAACCAATTAAACCATAAACATACACTAAATAATTATCATTATAATTGTTATAGCTATCATTATCATTATTATTAAACTATTATTCAAATTTAAAGCTTAGATTATAACATTCAGTGTCATAAAGCTTTATACACGTGATTACTCAATTAGTAATTCATTGCCTGGATTTTTTTTGTGATTAGAGGAATCCAGTACATCATATACAAATAATTACCATCAGTATTGATAACTAATTTTTTTCTACTATCAATCATCTTTCAGTTAAAATACAAACAAACAGTTCTATTCATATTTTTCACCTGTGAGCTATGTTAACAATGCAACCAAATTATTATGGTACACGAGTTGATACACGTCTTGTTAATGGTCCAGTTCTTAATTCACAATTAACAAATTATTCACAGAATCAACAGTTAGCCCATCAACAACAACAACAACAATCGTCACAACCGCAACATCATTATCCTCCTCCTCTTCCTTCTCATCATCATCAACAACAACAACAACAAACACAACTGACGCAATCACAACATTTACATGAATTACGTTTACCGTCAATTATATCACCGACAACGTCAACTGGTAACAAAAATAATAATGATTCAACAAACTGTTCTGATGTAATCAATAATCCTAATTCATCACCTAGTGAACGTAATTTTTCATTGTCAAGACAATTAGGACTAAGACGTAATAAAGTTGGTAATCAAGATTGGGGACAAACTAATCTTGATTGTAATATGAAAGTAGGATATGCTACAGTTCAGTCACCAACTGTCACAAACGCAATAACCATAACACATAATGAAGAAATATCATCTAAGCCAACACGTTTACGTCTTAATTGTGCTGTAACAAATGAGCATTCACCAGTTGGTTCTTCACCATCACCGACAATTGCAACAAGTCTAAACAATAATACTAATAATAATAGTATGAATACAGGAATAATAAATCAACATTTTTATTCAGATATAAATTTAATTCGACAATCAAATGATTTGATCTCTTCTACTGCTTCCAATGTATACGGACGTAATGGACCGAAAGAATTAGATTATCTATTAGCAGCGAATGCAGCCGCTGCTCTTGTTAGTCAACTTGGCGGTGCCACCAATGTCAATAATAATAATCATTCACCTATTAACAATTTAAATCCCAATTTAACCATGGAACAGTTAAATAATAGTTCTAAGTTAATACATCGTGATATTAACTCACTTGAATCATTTACAGGGAAGAATTTTTTTATGTCTAATGAATTAAAATATAACGGTTCTGCTATTACTACTACTAATAATAATACTAATGGAAGTAATAATGATAACAATAGTAGTGGTAATAATAATAATAGTAATAATATACATTTATCATATGATGACCAACAACGACTTATATACTCTGATAGAGAACAAAAATATCCTACTTCAAATCAATTGAAATCATATCCAAATGGTTTATTAAATCCTTTCAATGGAACTAATTTTATACATCCAACAATTCAGTCAAATTCATTAATGACTCGTCATTCAAATAATAATTCATTTCAACTGAATACTACTAACGATAGTAACAATAACAGTACTACTAACAATGCTAACGATTCACGATCTCATCTATATGATATATCAACTTTCAACACACAAAATCCTTATTCTTTAACAAATACATTGAATTTCAATTCACGTACAATGCATAATCAGTTAAGTATGAATGATTCAATGAAACTAAATGGAAATTTAACGTTACACGATACAAATTATCATGCCTTATTAAATGGATCATCATCATTTGGTAGTACAGTATTTCGATCATTAGTGAATTCAGAGAATCAATCATATTTGAACAATTCTACTAACATGTTAATGAATTCATCTTTGGACAATATTAATAATAGTAATAATCATTCTACATTGAATGATAATAGTAGTGATTGTATTGGACAGTCATTACGTCAAGGTGGTAATTCAAATGAATCCAATGTAGTTGTTTATCCTTGGATGAATCCTAAAGGAACTGGTATGTTTTTGCAATTGTTTTTTTCTTGTATGCATCTCAAATTTCATTTCATCTGTCAAAGACATTTGTAGAGAAAGAGTAGTGATTCTAGCAAAAGAAGCTCTCCTTTTGTTGCAGTTTTCGCATTTTTAAACAACAATAAGAAGGGTATTACAATAATTTGCTTTTTAGATAATTGACGGGAGAGATTTGTACCTCAGCAAATTAATTTAGATATATTTTCTTTCTCTGAGTCAGTTGGTCTAATCTCATGTAAATATATTTGACAACCAATTAGTAGTCACAGTGACTAAGATGAACTGAGCAACCATTTTGTTCGATGTAAAACTTATCGTAGTGTGTACAATTTATTTTAAATATAATATCTGAATTTTCACCTTTTGTCATTTCACCCTTTAAGTTGCATAAGATTGACTGAAATAATTCTGTTGGTTTATGGGCTACACTTATTGGTACAATTCTCAACAATATGGTTACCATTTCTATTATTTACATCGTATATGACACAATAATTCATTTATTAATTTCTATATGTGATTTTTTTTAAAGGTTTAATAAGTATAATGAAAATGCCCAGCTCACAGAATACAATTCTATTAAAATTAATTTCCAAAGAGAAAAGTGATCTCATTAACTTATATATATGTTTCCTATTATGATGACATCACGTTCCCAATCTCTAAAACATTGTACACAGAGCTTCTTTAATAAAACTAGTCACTAGCTTTACCGACTAACTAGTATTAATAATAATATGATTATTATTGGTTGCCATGACAATTTATTGATCAAACTACTTATAACACGAATATCTTATCCAGGTTACTAAATAAACATAATTTATTCGTTAAATTTTTACGTAAATAAATGATTATTGTATAAACAAGTATTTGATATAAGCTACATAATTCCACTTTGATCTTAGCGCTAGTTTATTATAATTACAGTATACATCATAATGAACGTTTATTTTTTCATCAATTTTCATTAACGATTTTTGCTATAGACTTTTTTTCAAGTAATAATAATAACTATATTGTCCAAATTGAAGGTTAAACCAATTCATATAAGTGATTAATTAACCTCTTAGTATAGTTACATTTATTTTGAAATCTATTCAAGCCACTGAATATGTACTGAATATCATGATTTTTGTCTCTAAAAAAAAAAAGAAAAACAAACAAGTTAACACCACTCGTTACATTCTTAAATAATGAATAAGACTTGATTATTATTATTATTAATTTTTTTTAAGTATAAATTTCCAATCATTGAAAATTCCCATGTAAACTACTTGAAATTATTGATTATTGAACACAAGAAAAATTGTTTCCCGAAAAAAGATTTTTTCGAGAAAAAAAGAAAAGAAAAGTAATACAGAACAACATTTGTTATCTTGTAAAATAAGAAAATCACAATCTTCTTTTAAACTTAAGAGAGGGAGGGGGGGAAAGAAAGAAATAAAATCAATCGATAGAGATGGCATTTAAAATTCTTCATCTAGATTGTTTTAAAAAAATTTTATTACTGGTTTCATTCTCTTGAATGTTTCACTATTCTTTTTTGTTGTATATATTTTTACATTTAATATTAAAATGCATACCTTATCAATACAGATATGTATATTCAATTATTTATTTGTCTGTATGTCAACTAAGGGATAAACAGAAAAGATTCTCGTGTATGAAAAACAACTTTTTTTTCCGTGACTAGTAATGCTCAGAACTGATGTTGTATAGTTGTATTTCTTTTTTTTCGAAAAATAGGGCAAAATAATGTCTTATATAAAAAAAATATACATACATATTTACAATGCATGATTTTCCATTTTCAGTAAGATTGTCTCTTTTTTCTTCTTCTTTGTTTCTATCGATTATTATTTCTCTTTTTGGTTAAAATTAAATTTATAGATTAAAATGGAAAATGTGATTATAAAAGAGAAAAACAATTTTCTGTGTTGGTTAATTTTAATTATGTGAAATTAGTTGTTAGAACATCAGAACCATGTATACATAATTATACATTAACATGGAGAATTAGATTGTAGGTCTTTAAGAGTCACTGAGGATATGAATCGCTTTATACCAATTAAGCTGATATTCTAATGATGTACGTTTTTCACTTTAGTTTATTCATTAACCCAAAAAAAAATCAGTTTGTAAAAGTTCTCTATGTATTTCCTTCTATAACTTTAAAGACGTACATTAACTGTAAAAAGAGGAAAAAGAAACCCAATGGAATACTAAGAAACGATGGACCTAATTTTAAAAAGGTTCTCAATTTAATTTCTAGCAGAATAAATTATTATTTCCCCACTTATATATTCTCTACACATTTTAATTCTTGTTCGGTTAGTGTTTACAATTGTAATGTTGTCAATGAGAATTTAGATAGGGAAAAACCAATTTATTATTTTATGTAAAATTATATAGTGCCTTCATAGAATATGAAAACTATACGTTAAATGCATTATTTACACATCACCTTTCATTTGTCTTTTACATAATTCATGATTCTTTCAATTCTGTTGTTGTTACGATTGCTCTCTGGTTACCGCTCTGTTCAATGGGATAAACTTTTCATAAATAAAGTTAAGAATATATTATTCGATATAATTTTAATATGAAGCGAATTTCTGAAGTTCATTACCGTAAAGAATTAAATATTCATTAAGTTTGCTATATCCATTACCGTCAGTCTTCTTTTCGCATTTATTTAATGCGTGAATGGTGAAAAATTAGGTATCACTTTTAATAAAATATTTCATTTCAAGAGATTGTAGTTATTCTCAGCTGTTCTTCATAAGCATGTCCAGTGTAGCGTAAAGTAAAATGTTAAATGAAAAACACAAATATATGGTCCTGAACTTGATTCTTTCATAAAAAACTATACGATAACATCGAGTAATCACTCCCTACTAAATGAAATGAAGTTGATCCCAAAGTGATGAGTATGATACACTTAGTAAATATTGAATACATTTAGGGTATTTTAAGAAGATTCACCTTCTAGATTTCGTTGCAATGGAATCATGGATTAGAATGCTGCACATTTCACAGCAACTTCTGATTTCCATCAAATTGCTTTTAAATATTATAATTAGGATAATTTTTAAAATTTATGAATTTTCTCCGTAAAAATAAAAGACAATTTTATTATCTGTGAATGGGAGTTGCTTTTTGGGAAAAATTACTTCATTGGTAAGAAGAGAACGTAAGCTGTTTGATTATTTTATTAAGTTGAATCAACTTCACGAAATACTAACAGGATTTAGTGGTTTAGGGTAAGCTAATCAAGTAGAGATTGAAACAGAAACTCACCTACGAAATTGGATAAAATGTCTCCTCTTATATCACAATGTAGATTTGGGGAAATGTTAGAGATTGTATGATGGCTCAGTAGATTGAGAATATATCACTTGTAACTAAGCTACACAGATCTTATTTCACCTACTCTTCTGACCTGAACAAAATACCAGCTAATTTTTCCCTGGTTGCCACTTACTCTTTATTTAACTCTAGTTACTGATGAAAAATACATTTTAAAATTCATTATAACATATAGGCATTTATCAACGATAAGGTATATCATTCTTTTGGATAGTCTACAAATAACAAACTTCACCTCGCTCATATGATTGTTTGCCACCCTCACTCCTCTATTTTTTCGAAAATACATTTCTCATTGGAAGAAATATACAAATATAGGAAAGGAGTTTTTTCACTGATGAATTGTTTGTGTATGATACAGCAAACAATTGTCCATGTAAATTTATTCTTAATTTATTTTGGAAATTTAGATTTTTGGATGCCAACTCAGTATTCTAAGAGTGAGACACATTTTAAGAGATCTAAAGATCATGACAACGATATTTGATAAGTCCTAAGAGTCCACTGCTGAGAAGTCTCATGTTAGGATAAAACAATTAATATCCCCCATAGTTTATTGATTTTCCAGCTGCCGTGAATCGATGATGAATATGATCAACAAATTAAATTAGTTTCTATAAGATATCTCAACAGAAAAAACACACAACATGTAACCGAATAATGATAATTATTACTATCCCTTTTTTCTGTGTGCGAAACTTATTTAAAAGTTTTTACATTTGATAATATGAATACGATTTCGAAATATTCAAGTTTATATTTATGTTCATCTCAAAAATATCATAATTTACTGTCAAATATGATAATGTTTTAAGAAGTTACAGTTTTATCCAGATGGTTGTAGATTTGGCCTCATAGAAAACCTTATTAATTTAGAAAGTTACCTAATATGTGTCATACATTTGATATATATATATATATATATATATATATATATATATATATATATATATAACTGAACAGTTACTTTTTAAGTGTGATCACATCTTGATACTGCAGCAAGAACTACCCTGTTACTACTAAGAATAACACTAAAATAACTATTATAAGCAAAGATGGAGTAAACGTCAACTCTGGGATGCAGGCAAATTCAGCTAATGATTCTAAAATAGGATAAAACGCGCGTTTCGAATTCCACTGCCAACCACCATCCACCTTTGTTTATAATGCTCGTGACTTAAGACGATATCGAGGTAATCCACACAGGATGTATATAAGTTAATAAGAGACTAATCAATTAGTCCTAAACATCAATGGAAAGATCCAAAAAAACACAAAATGAATTTAAAATAATTATGCTTAAATGTATTATGAACAATGTTACACAGTACCCTTTTCACTCTTTAAATTTGTCGTTCGAAAATATTCATAATCTTCGAAACGAGGCGATTGGTTATTATTATTATTATTATTATTATTATTATTATTATATAAAGATGGATATAAATGTGAATAAGTTGTGGAGTGGTTATAATTTTAATGTCAGTGAGCTATTGTAATCAGTATTTACTAGGAGTAAATAAACAATTAATATCGTTTTGATGTCATCTACTTGTTACATTCACCTTTGTATAACCGCTTGGATACTTCATGTTGTTGTTTTTAGTTTTTTTTAAAAATTACTGATGTGTTCAATAATGAAATAATCTTTTCAATTCATTCGAACGCTTTATTAATGGAAATAATTAGTTAAAAGATAAAAGATTATGATTATAACAATTGGTCTATATTCAAAATCATGAATGACATTAGGGAGGCCCTACCTCTTTTCAAGTTGATAATCAATTACAAAATTTGAAAAAAAATGTTGAAACTTATTTAATGAACTAGAAGTTCCATTACGAATAAAATACAGTCGACTATAAATATAAATTCTAATGTTCTAATTAAATGTTATAGTTAACTTTCATGTAAATAAATAATTAAGGGTATCATTCATTTTGTATTAGTTGTTTAAATCTTCCGATAGATGTTTAGAGACTGTAATTGATCAATCTCGTAGTAGCATATATGCGTTCTGTTCTGATTGCCTTGATATTGTCCTAAGTCACAAGCATTATAAGCAAAGATGGATGATCGCTAGCAGTGGCGTTTTAAGCGAACGGTGCTGGATTCGAGTCCCGGAAGCGACACCAACTCTGGGATGAAGCTGACGAGTCTCAAATAAGACGAGACGTGCGTCCTGAACCTCACTGTTAACCACTACTTGTCTTTACTGAATTAAGGGTATATTTTTCAAGAAAAATATTTTGATTAAAAAGTAAGTCGTTGAAATTATTTAGTTATTAACAACATATTAATGATATTTAATGCCAATACATGACGTTTTTAGCATTTTTTTAGTAAGGTTGTTTTTTACGAGGTGAGGTTACTGAACCCAAGCCCAACCCTCTTCCTTTACCCAATCTTGGAACCGGCAGTTGCCCTAGAAGAGCTAGAGGCGGAGTTGATGCTGATATATACATATAGATAATAGCATTGTAAAATCCAGGTTCTTAATCAATAAAGATTTCTTTCGTAGTTTCTTTTTTCTATAAACCATTAGTTAATATCATAGTGTTTATATTAAACTAACTGAAACATAATAGGAAAGAAAATTGAAGTAAGAATAAATCAGCTTAATTAATTTCCAAAAAAAAATAAACTGTAACCTCATGTGGGTCATCTAACTTAAGACTTAGTTTCATTTAGATGCTATTTAATACAGGATTTGTGAAATACTAAAACTGAAGCAAATTTTCATGACAAAATAAACTACATTAAATTAGTTA